TGGGGGTTGCAGGGGAGGGCAGCCATGTTGGGTCAGCCCTGGTGGCTGATGGCAGGGCGGCCATGTTGACCCAATACGCCCACCATCCCCGTGCCCCCTATAGCCCCACCCCCCCCAACGTTACGACACTTTGGGGCACTTTTGACTTTTTTTTTATCTAAAAGGAGCAGAAACGGCATCGAAAAAAAATCCCCGTTTTCACCCCAAAACGTGCGCGAGAGGGGAGGGGCCACCCTGGGGTCGGGCCCGAGGGTCACGAGGGGGGTCCCCATGGGTCACGGGGTGTCCCCAAGGGTCACAGATGTCCCCAGTGACACGAGGGGAACCAGGGTGTCCCCAAGGGAGGGTGACCCTGGGGGCGGGGCGGGGGGGACAAGGCCACTTTGGGGTGGCTCTAAGTGACCCCAGGGGACACGGGTGACACCGCGGTGGCCCAGGAGAGGACGAGGAACAGGGCAACGTCCCCAAGCCTCCCTAGATGCCACCCGCAGTGGCCACCTTGGAGAGGACACCCCACGTCTCCTGGGGACATGGTAGCCCCAGGGTGGCTCTGGGTGGCCCCAGGGCACACAGGTGACACCGTGGTGGCCCAGGAAGGGACAAGGAGCACAGTGATACCTCCGAGCCTCCCTACATGCCACCGCCGGTGGCCACCATGGAGGGGACACCTCACATCTCCTGGGGACATGGTAGCCCCGGGGTGGCTCTAGGTGGCCCCAGTGGCCATGAGTGACACTGTGGTGGCCCAGGAAGAAACAAGGAGCACAGCAATGTCCCCAAGCCTTCCTAGATGCCGCCGCCAGTGGCCACCATGGAGGGGACGCCCCACATCTCCTGCGGACATGGTAGCCCCGGGACGGCTCGAGGTGGCCCCGGGGGACGCAGGTGACCCCGCCAGGGGAGAGGGGCAGGGCCAGGGGGGGTCACAGGAAATAATCGGCCACCGGTTTCTTGGAGGGGATCCCCCGCGTCTCCTGCGGCGCCGCCTCGAAGATGATGAACTCCTTCTGCAGGTGCTCGTCCAGCTCCAAGATGGCCGCCACGTTCCCACACCTGTGGGGCGGAGCATGGGCTTAGGGTGTACTTAGCGTGTTGAGACCCCTACCCCCAACCCCAGCCCAACCAGAGGAGGGGGACGCTCCTGTTCCACTGCCACCGGCGGCCCTCCGCCCCATCCCACCCCCCTGCCTCGCCCCACGTTCCCCTCTTAGCGTGTGCTTAGCATGTGCTTAGCGTGTTCCTGACCTGTAGCAGTAGTTGGGGGCAGACCAGACGGTGAGCACGGTCTCGTTGAAGTGCCACTTGTAGCCCTCCATGACGAGCTGGTGGGCGCGGCAGATCATGTCGATGTCGTTCGAGGCGTTGAACTGGGCCACCACATCGCTGCCGAACAAGTAGCCGGCCCCCCGCGGGGACACGCCCCAGCCCGTCGTGTCTGCCGATGCGTCACACGTGTGTCAGCGGGGGCGGGAGGCGGGCGAGGGGCAACGCGCAGGGGGGACGCGAGCCGAGCGGGCGCGGAGGGGGGGGGGGAGAC